GGAACTCTCATTAACCCTTTCCTGTCAAGCCAGGATCGTTTGCATATTGATTGGATTTAAAGAACCAGCTGTGTCTTTTGTGATCTGTTCCTCTGGATGCCAGAACCAAGCATTTGGAAAGGTTTCTCTTGCACACACTCTCTCTCTCCCCCAAATTTGTGTCCCCAAATCTGGAGAGGCAGTAAACTGTCCTGAGTGGCTGTAGATATTTAGTTCCGGGATCCCTCCAATAGTGAGAGCTGCCCAGATACTGCTCACCCGTCCCCCCACTTACCTATCTCCTAGACCTCTTTCAGCCAGAATCTGCATCCCAAATCTTAATTGTTATGCATCAGCTCTGCAAATGCTTTAAGCATGGGGGTTGTCTCATTGCATGCAGTGACACGGATCACACGCCGAACACTAAACCCATGTGTAAATCTGTACAGGACTGGACCCCCACCTGCTCACTAACTGGACCCAGAATACCTGGCTGTGGACTCTCCATCCAGCGACCCTCTGCTCAAGAACACCATCAGGAGGGTCAACATGACAGGAGACTACAGAAGGCCTCACTGGAGCTACATCAAACACCAGACCACCACTTTGGACTCACTGAAACTGATCAATGCTAACACTCGCATTAAATTCCGCCAGGCCTGGATTTCACTCTGTGCCTGCAACAATATGTAGCGCACAGCGGCATCTAGTGACTGCATGCGTGAAAATTTCTCACTGTGATGTCTGCCTGGGAACAGGGAGAGACTAGTGGAGGATTTCAGGAGCAGAAAGGGCCAGGAAACCCAGCGAGTGAAACACAGAAACCGACAAAACAACGTGTTTTTAGCTAAACTCACGGTCAAACCATTTTAACTGAAATTTTCCCATAACATTCAATGTGAGCCAGGGGAAATTTCAGTCCAAATAAATGTTTGGCACACTTATTAGTAACCACATGTGGGGTTTTATCATGGGAAGTGCTTGGCAACCTAATCTATAGAAACTCTGCCTGGAAAAACAAAAACAAAAACAAAAACAAAAACAAAAACAAAAACAAAACACACACACACACACACACACACACACAGAGTCAAGATTGGTTAGGAGGAATATTCGCCCACACAAACCTTTTAGGAACAAAGAAATATTGAGTCATGACATACAACTGTAACATACCTTCATGCCTACGCATCCCATTCACCACTCTCAAGGACAACACTCCACCCCTCTATAAAAAAGCCCATAAAGTTACGTGTGCAGTAACACAATATGCACACCACATTCCTCACTGTTCCACTACAATGCACAACTCTGACCTCCGCTACTTCAAAATACATGTCTGGAGGACTTGTGTGTCCCAGTGAACTGTAGGATGTATTATCCTTTCATGAGGCTTTTAATTAAGTTATTCTCTGTTTTTAATTATAGTTATTTTAATGATGCTAGTGCCGGGGTGTCGTGTATTAGTCATGCCGCACTGTGGTTGCCTGGAGGGATACAGCTAGCTTTTTCCTGTACCTAGTTTAAGAGGCAGATATGTGTTGCCTGGCCAACAAAGTGCTCCAGCTTCTGAAGTTGTGAAAAAAACACAACTTCATAGCTGTATTTGTTTCTATTCACTCTCTCTCTCTCTCTTTTTTTTTTTTTTTTTTTTTTTAAAGAAAGGGGGTAAGAGAGAAAAACAGCTGGAAATGTCTATGTAAAATACCACATAAGGGTTACAAATCTAAAATAAGCTCAAGAAGTGCAAAGTTATGGCTTCCACTGCCTTTTCTGAGCAGGAAAGGCAACGTTGCCCAAAGGAGCTAAGTGACTTGGGACCTACATTCCCTGACTTTCAGAGACACAGCCGAAGGGTAGGTCTACACTGCACAGAAAACTCGGAGGCTGGCCCGTGCCAGCTGACTCGGGCGGGAGGGGCGTTTCATTGTCATGGAGGGTTGGGTGGGTGTCCAGGCGCTAGGACCCTGCTGCATGACTCACACTGCCTTGCATGTAAACTTGTGTCTGGCATGCGGCAGCTGACTCAGGCTCACGGGACTGGACAATTGCAGCCTGCACAGCCGGGCTCAGGCTGGCGCCTGTGTTCTAAGACCCCGTGGTGGGGACGGGTCTGGAACCCAGGTTTCCGTGTGAGGCCAAATGTACACACTGCAGTTTTATTGCCCCTCAGACTGAGTCCCACCAGCTCAAGTCAGCCAATCTGGGATCACTGGTGGATCTTTTATTGCAGTGTAGACATACTCAGAGTCTGCCCACGCATTCCACGATCCCGCACGCTGACTTCTCTGCCCCTGGACAGCCAAGTCTGGGGGACACTCCAGCTGTCCCCCACTGCATCCCAATCAAAGGGTTAGAGCAGGCACCTTTCAGGAGGGTGCTAAGAAGCCTGGGATATGGGTAATTGCGCTGGAGCTCAACAATTCTTCACTTGGGTAGATGCTCAAGTTGCAGGTTATCCCAGCCAGGGTCTCCTCACTTGTGTTCCACTACTCCTGGTCTTCCCACGCAGTGTAAACAAGCCCTGATGGGCCAGGCTGGGGAGAGGATCTTTCTATTCATTGGCTGTGTGGAGCCGCAAGAAGGGAACCACTGCCTGCAGGGATATGCCCATTTCTCTGCCGTTCCGCGGCCATGTCCTGGGGCAATTCCGCTGAGCAGCATTACTGTGGCATTAAGGGCTGCCAGTGCTGGGCTCTATGCAGGTGTCTGGCCTCAAGCGGTTTGCCGCATTGGCTGCAATTGCTTCGTGCCCATTTGTGCCACTGCCTGGCAAGATCATACCAGCTCTGCCCTTCCTGGCCTCTGTTCCCCACGGAACAAAAGATCTACTACCTTCTCGAGCCTGCCCTGTTCCACTCCCCCATGTGCAGCACAAGAACAGCAACACTGGGTCACACCAAAGGTCCATCCAGCCCAGTATCCTGTCTGCCGACAGTGGACAATGCCAAGTGTCCCAAAGGGACTGAACAGAACAGGGAATCATCAAGTGATCCCTCTCCTATCATCCATTTCCAGAAAAACAGTGGCTACAGACACCATTCCTGCCCATCCTGGCTAATAGCCATTGATAGATATAACTTCCGTGAATCAATCTAGCTCTTTTTTTTAACCCTGTTAAAGTTCTAGCCTTCACCACATCCTCTGGCAAGGAGTTCCACAAGTTGATTATGTGCTGAGTGAAGAAAAACTTCCTTTTGTTTGTTTTAAACCTGCTGCCTATTCATTTCATTTGGTGACCCTGAGTTCTTATATTGTGGGAATAAGTAAATAACTTTTCCTTCTTCACTGTTTCCACACCAGTGACGATTTTAAAGACCTCTATCATACCTCCCTTTAGTCTCCTCTTTTCTAAGCTGAAAAGTCCAAGTTTTTTTAACCTCTCTTCATATCGGACCTGTTCCAAATCCCTCATCATTTTTGTTGCCCTTTTCTGAACCTTTTCCAATGCCAGTATATCTTTTTTGAGATGAGGTGACCACATCTGTATGCAGTATTCGAGAGGCAGGCGTACAATGGTTTTATATAGAGGCATGTCTTATTCTCTGTCCCTTTTTTACTGATTCCTAACGTTCTGTTTGCTTGTTTGAGCAAAACCTTTTAAACCCTTCTTAGGGGAGCTCAGACGGCTTCATGAGCCATCCCTCACCAAGAAATATTTGTAGCTTCAACTGTAAACCGAGGGGGTTGTTGTTTGTATCGCTGCAGCACCTGATACACCACTCTCAGCACGAGGCTTTCTGCTGCTTTAGATGGGCAGTCAGATGGAGAATTTGAATGCATTGCTTCTGCATCTGACTTGCTTCTCCTTCCTCCCTCCGCCCTGCACTCTTCAGCCTTCAACCCAGCACAGAGTACGATGTCTGGCTGACCAGACAGGTGTTACAAAACCCAGGAAACGACTGACAAATACACTACATCCTCTTGCTCTTCTCTAGCACGGCCTCCTTGTCTTTCTCCTTGCACAACAGGCAGTGTGTACACTGTAATAATTTATTAGATACTCTTCTCTTGTACAGTTTCTAACATATAGAAGTAAACTGCATGTGACCACCTGTGGAAAACAGAGTAGTTATGGATGCCTTGGTACAAGGGGAGTGAAATCCTCACTCGACTAAACTCAATGGCAAAACTCCCTCTGACCAGTGTTCCTTGTAAGGTGGGTGCTTGTGCGGTCACTCAGGATAGATTCAAATGCCGCTCACCTGGTGAGCCAAGTGCCCCCCGCTAGGTGTTGTGTTTCTAGTGGTGGTGCACATTTGAACACACCTCAGTGCACATAAAATTATTCTGCACATGGATGAAAAAGATTAGTGGAAACATTGCCTTTGACTTCAAGGAGGCCAGAATTTCACGCCCAATATTTAACTGTCCGCATGTGCCTTAGCTATTCAGATCAAGGGGGCTTTATAAGCATTTGATAAAATTACTGCTTCTGAAATCAGTGGGGGAAGATCTTAGACAAAGGGCTTGTTGGCAATCTGACACTCACCATCTTGAGAAGTTACATTACGGCCTCTCTGCTGCCACTTAGAGAGAGATCACAGCTAGGCCTACAAGTTGTCGATAGTGAAAACTGTTCATTTCTGCAGCAAAGCACGGCTCTCTTTCCATGGAGCA